CCTTGTCAGCAAAATACGATTTATCAATAAGTCAAAAACTGACCGACGTTTTTCATACTATAAATATTAGGCCAATATACACACACTAAATTGTTAATGTATTTCCGTTGTTTCCCGATCATAAAAAGGAACACAATGTGGTTGTGACCTGTCGGCAGGGGATGTTCACTCCTCCATGGCAACTGACCACAGTTCTTTAATGTTTTGGAGGTCCGTGTTTGCTCTGCTATTTTGTTATGTTAACTGGACTTTTGAGTTTGAATACTGTTCGCTTAATTTCTCCATATATTCCATAAAAATGAAATCAAGAAGAATTCATGAAAGGAACAATTATTCAGTTTCAAATTACAAAAAAAGAGGATGAAATATCTTGTGCAGTTATCTGTGATAAAGCATTATAAGTTAGGTAAGTTGATTTCTTAAAAAAATTACCGGTACCTAAAACGCATGCGTTTATCTCGTGCGACTCCAAGTCTGATGTCAGTGGGCGTGGATTTTTGAAATTGACATGGGAGGCCTCTTTGAATCTATAAGACAACATTTTTAGATTCTATCTAAGGTACAGTTTGGTCTGTATTGTTCCCTAAAATTTTACTGCTCTCAAAAATAATGAAATTGGCTTCAAAATGAGTTGAATAGATGGTTATGATAAATTATTAAAGAATATGGCATGACGGGTGACCATTCTGGAAATATAACGTAATTAAAATGGTACACTTTAAAAGTTGTTTTGCAGAAAAGCCTCAAAATGACTCAGTTCTGTGGTTAATTTCCCTTAGAAAATAATGCCCACAGCCGTCGCCCGCTTCAATATGTGGATATATTGTTTTAAATGCTTTGAAAAAATCACATATTTTCAGAATATATGTATTCTGAAAGAAAATTCCACTGAAAATTGAGCCTTCTGCAACCTTTGAGAAAGTACGGGAAAATGCCCAAGTTCATGACGTTACAATCAGCATTTAGAAAATCATATTTAAAAAAAATCGATTTCTAGGTTAAAACGACATGGAAATTCAATAATTCAACATGAATGAGTTTTAATTTATTACATCATTCCCAAACTTTAGAAAAATACAGTGCCACATTTGTATTGAATCTGAATCTTGTACAATTTTATTTTACAATGAAATGGTAATATAGTGAATCCTTGTCTAGTTTGTTGAGTAATACTTATTATTACAATTACGACTACTCATTATGTTGTTTAGTATAGGCATTTACTGTATGAAAAAATATTATAATTAATGATGCGTCTTCACTCTGCATTTATTTGCAAAATGCGGCAAACATTTATGACGTCAACTTTAGCGCTCGTTTTCTCGATAACGTCATAATGCAGATAAGGGTGGTTTTCGCTTGACGGTCATCATTTTATTGAACAAAGTCAAAAGGATCGGACACAAGTTTAGTAACTTAAATAATCCTTTAAACAGGTTAGTATATGCTGACTTCAAAACACTGAATATTTTCTTTAGCAATGACGTCATATGTTTGTAATGACGTCACGAAAATGACGTAAACTTAAAATTTCCATGATTTGCACAGAAAAATGTATATTTTACGTCGATATTTTGAGTGAAAGTCACCGAGCGCAGATCTGATCAGGCTCAATATTTTGATATGTGTAGAATGATAATATCAATGAAATATGTAAATATTGTTCCTGAGCAAACTTGCGCTCTATAAATGTTAAAGCTAACATTGTTGAATTTTTGTCCATTTTGTCCTCTTTCTAAAAAATTACATAAAATCGAACTAGTTTGTGACTTCATAAAAACAAAAAATGTCAATAAACTACTTTGAAACTATAATATGATCTGTTAATTTATATTTCTCATACAATTTATGAAATTCAGCATATTTCAATAATTTTTCAAAATTTGACTTTTGTGGGGGCAAAGATATGCAATATACCGCATATAGTTCTTTTACACAGCAGCCTTTTGAACATGTATATCCCCATTTTTGAAATATCATTTTTTTTCAATCATTCTTTGCAAAATTTGAAAAAAGTGAAATTTAAAATGATGATGTAGGCTCAAAATCAATAAAAATAGATATCAAGTAAGTCTGTTTAAAAGAAAATTTAAAAGCCTTAATTAGGTCCATAAAAGCAATTAAGAATATCTTGTCTGTGTATGTACTAAATGACATGTAGATCCTATGGACAGAGTGCAAAGTGTTAATTTCCATTAATAATGTATATTAAATGCTTTGTATGCACAATGACACTATAACAAATAAATATATTTTCAGTCATCCAAAAAGATATTATTTCAATAGACAAGTAATAATCAGAATTTTATATTGGTGTGTAAAATTAAAACCGGATCCGTAAAAGTGGACCTTCCTTAAAAGAGGGTCAGGTGAAAAATATTTATATATATTCAATTATCCATGGAAAGGTCTTATCACAAAGAATACACATGAAAACCGAAGTACAGACTGTTTAGAAGTTATGGCCAAAATAAATTTTGTCAAACTCATAGGTCAAAGTCAAGGGGTACTTAAGAAAGGCTTTATCACAAAAAAACGTACAAGTAAATTATAAGTGCCAAAGCTTCAACCAATCAAAAGTTTCGGGTAATGTAAAAGTTTTGCGGACAAAAAGACAAACAGACAGACTGATAGGGCTAAAAATATACCATACGATAAAGGGGTATATAAATACGGAGATTATATCCCCCCAATATGACCTATAAAACATTTGTAGTGTTTTTATCTCCGTCTGACTGTCTCAGTGTTCTTCCGCTGGATGTATTTTTCATCAGTGTTTACACAGGGAAGGTATCGTACTTGTTGTAAATGTATAAATCATCATATTTTGCATTTATTTCGAAATAACTTAACCGTCCTATGATGTTTAGAAACATAAATAAAAACCAGAGATTCGAAATATCATTCCAAGTAAAAATGTAATCTCCTTACTTTGTCCTTCATTAAAATACGTAAAACAAGCGAACATTTTCAGGAAATCAATGAAATTTAACTCTCCTTGTTTGACTATATTGATTCCCTGATCAATACCCTATTTGGATAACTAACAGTTAGTTTGTCAATTGACATAGGTAATTTTCATTCATGTTGGATTCAATAAAAATTAATTGCTTGAACTGTATCGAAACTCATTCAAATTGGTTGAAATCGATTTCTTGAAATCTTTTATTTACCTAAGTATTGGGATGCGAATTTCAGAACGCTACCTAGTTTTCAGATATCTGAATTTCTTTAATTAAGTTACTGCTAAAAGACATTTTACTTTCTATGAGAACTTAGGTTCCTGTGGACTGGAATTCTATCCCTCATCGATAGAAGCCCTCGTCTCCTTTAAGACTTCTCTTCTTAACAACCTTTTCATAACATTTTAGTGTATTAATATACTATAAAAGCACACATTTTCAAAAGTAATCCTATTCAATGTTTAGTAATGGAATAGTCTTTTGGTGGATTTTATTTCGTTGCTTTTTGTCAACACTGAATTAACGAAATCAAATCTCAAACGAATATTTCTGGTTTTACACCATGTAAGTCAATTTTTTTTTTTTAAATTCTAATATAATAATTTTAGCAATGCTTATCATTGAATAATAGGGCACACTAGGTCTCTGGGTGTCCCTCAATGATAAATGACTTTGAGTTTTAAAATAAAAAAAATTACTGTCACAGTGTAGTTTTTTGTATTCCAAATTTATTCCTTTTAATTGACCATGACATGATTACAACAAATTTACTCATTTCATATAATTTTATTATAAGGGGGGGGGGGATATCTTAGTTTCAGTTACATCTAGAAATTAAAAAAAGTCTACGTTTGAAACCCGTTTCATATAATTTTCATAATTTGACAAAAAATAAAAATCTTCTATCAATAAGTAATGAATGTAAGCACGTATTTATAAAGGAACTATAAAAGAATGACCCATTCTGTTTTTTGGCACTGCATTGTATACGAGGTTTAACGTTAGGCAAAAAGCACACGTCGGGCGTAACTAAACGACAGAATACATTTACATCTCCATTGCCTCTGACCCCCATCTGATGATACTAGAGGTCCATGTTTGCATTTCTCCCAATTTGAAATGTTTTGATGGACATTTGAACTTAATAATTATTCGTTGTTTCAGTTGGTTTGATACTCAAGAGTAGTCTCTATGTATGAACAATATCTAAAAAGGTAAGTTATTAACGAACAAGTTGATGAAATAAAAATACCAACAGTCTCGTTTTAAATCATCATTTCGTAAGTTATATAATCGATACAAAGACCTTGTCAGAAATAAGTCTATTAAGTCAAATACTGACGATACAAATTATTTTCAGAAAGTGTTTCCATACAAATTGTTACTCCATTTTATACACATTGAATTCTCCACAGATTTTTTTCCTGAGCATGACAAGGAGCACACGACGGGTGGGTAGGTCGGCAGGGATGCCTTTCCTCCATGTCATCTGCCTCCTCTTATGTTTTGGAGGCCCGTGTTTGCTCTTCTCCTGATTTTTATTGTTTGATTTGACTTCTTAGCTTGAATACTTTTCGATACCTCCGTGTGCTTCATTTTCATTTAGTTTAGCCAAAAATAATACAATTTTCTGAATGAATACTACACGCAGTTTTTTTCCCTTTTTTTTTTATATATTGTTATATTTCAAATAATCTTTAAAGAATATTTCAGGCGAACTTTAAAAAAAATGGCTGTTTGCCTTCTCCCAAATGAGGAAACAAAACAGAAATTTATTTTCCAGAATGCATACAAAAATAAATCCTTCCAGGAGGTACAAAAAAGTCTTCAGTCTGACCATTTTAGCCAGTCGGTCGGGAGGGCAGCCATTTTTTTAAAACATGGCTCAAGTTGAAAGTTATTTTGGGCACAACTAAACTGAATTTGGATAAATTGTGTCCTACATCATTCTTTTAGTAAATTGATTCTCTTGTAGCCTTTTCATCGGCAAAGAATTAACGCAAATAAAAGTAGGTTTGCAACAAAGAAATAAATTACAAAAAGGACAAAGAAGACAAAGTCAACATTGTTTGTCCCCACTGCATAATCTTCATAAACGGTTTCCAATTTTTGGTCTAACGTATTTTTCTCCTTAGTTTCTTTGTGCGAGGGAAATTTCATTTCTTCAACATTATCATCTCTTGTTTTTGTAGACCTGAATTTTGAAAGTTTTATGCACGTTTGCTGAATTCTTTTAAAATATTCCATCAAAGGGTTTGTTTTAGTATGATGGCAGTTAATGCTAAACGTTGTAGCAATTGTTATAAGGGTACTGTATATCAGCATAGCCATAAGGTACATACAGAACACAGAGGTAGTATTACTCGTTTGTGGCATTTTATCTGCCACTAAAGTCATATAGACAGCAAAGCTCAGAAGAACAGTCATTGCAAATGACATTCGTTCTCCACTTTCCACAGGAAGCTTGAAAACGATCACGTTAACAAAACCCAGAAAGACAACCGGAGCTACGACATTTATCATGTGAAACAACATTTTTCGCTCTAAGTTAATTGTAATCACCACACGCTCTATGTTTTTAGAATCCAAGTAATGTACCTCAGATTTTGTGTTTCCGAGATTCCATTCTCCGTTAGTTTCGAAATCCAATGTATCCACTTTTGCTGATCCCATTTTAAGTTTTGAAGAAGAAGTAAGAGTCGATAAATATATTTTGCAGTGGTGTATATCGTTAGGATAATATGCTATGTCTGAAGTACATGTTGTGGTAAAGACTTCCATGAAAAACAACCGAGCTTCCCCATTGCTCGAGAACTCAACTTCCTTCGTATCTGGATCCCCTTTGTAGATAAAAAACTTCTCGGCACAATTCAATAGGTAGAGATTTGGTGACCAGATTTTGCCAAGTGGTAGATTTAATTCTGTGATGTTTTTATTGGTTTGTGGGTCCCAAGATAGTAGTTCGTCATTCCACTTTAAAGCTATAGCTGTTACAACTGTCATATGTCCATCTACAACATTAAATTTGTTCAGAGCTTTTAGACTAACATCCATTTCTAGCTTGATTGTTTCACTTTGGTTTCTTTTTGGAATAATAGTCCTGGAATAAACTTGAAGTAATCCATCTGTTAAGTTCCTAACATCGTGGTAATCTTCACCAAAAGATCCCAAAAAAGAGCTGAAAATCACAAAATATACCAATACTGCTTTTAGATATGTCTTCATTTTATATCTTAAGATTTAGATACTTTTTTTCGTTTAGTCTTACAACACCTTATTTTAAACGGTTTATATTTCCACAGCTTAACACTGGACAATCGCACTTGTCAAAAGTTTCACTGGAAATATTTTTAAAGTTCACTACTCCTAGTATTATTTCTGGTACTTGAGTTGTCAGAATCAAAGAAAGCTATTTAAATGTAAATGTTCTGTGTTGAATCCATTTCCCACTGAACCGAATCACCTCCGAAGAAATGCGAAATATGATAAAGAATACGGGAATGTACGATGGCCGATATCAGCCTGTACATATTTCGACTGCTATTGAAATTTGTACATCAAAAATGTACATTGACATGTACATTTTGCAATGACAGTGCACACTTCGTGTTCTTAACTTTTTTCTGTACATGTACATTTTGCAATGACAGTGCACACTTTATGCTTTTCACTTTTGTCTGTACATGTACAAAATGGCAAAAAGGCAAATGTCAAAACGTGAACGGTTGAAACACATTTGCTTCTGATTACAACTCCTGGTTGGCGAAAAACGATTAAATATGATTTAAATTGGACAAGGCACTGAGAAGATTAATTTTGCGATAAAAAGGATGAGAAATATTAAAAGAAAATGTAAATATTCTTGTAAAAATTAAAACTAATGTTAAAATTTGTCTTCTTTTACTGAAAAATATTAAATTCCCATAGATTAAAACCACCCTCCACAAACATTTCTTGTACAATGAATTGCCCCCATCCAACCCAGAAAATGATGACTATATAGTTTACACTCCTTTTTGATCAAAAGTGAAGGGAAGTTGCAAAGGACGTTTTATGATCGAGTAAGATTCTAACCATAATATAACGTAAGATTAAATTGTGACCTCAACTGTTACCTTTGACCATCAATTGAAAAACTGTAAGTTGCAAGTGTTCAGTAATTAACCATAACACAATACTTTTTTGAAAAAAACAAAAGGTCTCCAGTGTTTTTGACTTTGCTACCCTTAAAACATCTTACAGGTGTATACCACGTCTACGTCCCACCCCTGAATTGTGTTATCATTGCTGGCATAGTGTTTTACAAAACAAATCTTGTTTTGATATTAATTGTTCAACTTTTCCCCGTTGTACACTTTTATTCATATTTAATGGTTTTTCGCCAACCAGGAATTGTAAGTAAGAGCATATGCGTTTCAATCGCTCACGTTTTGACATTTGCCTTTTTGCCATTTTGTACATGAACAGACAAAAATTAAGAGCACAAAGTGTGCACTGTCATTGCAAAATGTACGTGTACAGAAAAAGTTAAGAACACGAAGTGTGCACTGTCATTGCAAAATGTACATGTCAATGTACATTTTAGATGTACAAATTTTAAAAGCAGTCGGAATTTGTACAGGCTGATATCGGCCATCGTAGGAATGACGTGCAGGGTATGAAAATCGGTTATGGTGCTTAATGCCTAGGTCACATTTCCCGGCCGGTGGCCGTAGACCGGTGGTAATCGGTGGTATTCCGTGGTGTTAACGATGCCCCAACATTGGTCCACATCGGCCTAGTAGTCCTTAAAGTATCAGTCACATTATCCAGCGCCGGGTATACGATGGGCAACCAATGCGTTTTATGATAAAAATAGTGTGGTTGCCGGTTGGACTCACAAAGGTCCAGCGATGCATTGCTAATCATAAAACGATGTTCCAGGATAATCGGTTGATGTGTATTACATCGCTCATACATTGGTGAACATCTATCATACATTGGTCGACTACGGGCCAATGTTTGCTTGAACATCGACCAATGATCGGCCGTTATCTGTTTGAACACCACTCAATCCCCCGATGACCTCAGATTCAAAGGATATTGGACGATGTTCGGCCATACAGCAGCCGATGCATGAAAGATGTGTGAATGATGGGTTGCCGATGAGGAGCGATGTGAGGCATCGTTGGAGACATCGCTGAATTTTAAATACAAATTATTTCCTACCGATGACCCTACCGATTCGCAAAATGGCCTCAATCACCGTCCGATCACAAGTGGTGTTCGGCCGGCAACCACGCCATTTTCATCAAAAAACGCATCGGTTTCTCATCGTATACCCCATCGCTTGATAATGTGACTTATACTTACCCGAACAAAATTTATATATTCAAAGTAATTTCTCATCTAAAATGAACACAATTTGGAATACTAGTAATATAATGATTACCTGTGCTTAATTGCTATGAGTGATAATACTGTATGTACTATGGCTAAATACCTGACTAAATTTTAGAATAATTATGGATCAAAGTATTAACTCGAGCTTGTTTACATCTTTTTCTGGACTTTCTCAATCATTTAGTGAATCTGGAATTATCACACCTAATGGAGTGAGTATACCAAGTTTTTTGAATGTGACTTTTAACAAATACAGCATAACTGTATCGTTTCAACAAGACAAATATGCCACTATTTTGAACTATTTGGAAAAAGAACTTAATGCAATTAAAGAAGTAGGGAAGAATGGCCAGATTTTCAAGTCTGAGTGCAATACTGTGACAGCTACACTCTATTCTGGCACCAGCGTCCTGCACATTCAAGGATCGTCGGCAAACTCGTGGCTGGACAAATTCCTTAATGACATAAGAAACAAAACCTCTAACAGCATTAGTAGTATGTTGGGGCAATCTATTCCACAATTGTCATCAACGCCTGTAAAAAACGATGCTCTATTGACAGCCAGTACTGATAATGCTCTAAATTGTACACAGTGTGCAGGTACAATACAAGCCCTACAATCGGCAGTCCGTGAGTTAGCACAAGAAATACAGGAATTAAAAGAGAAACTCAGATGCAAGACCAACCCCACATTGTTGGACAAAAACACACAGACACTTTTTAAGGTGGTGAAAAACAAGGAAACAGATGTGCAGGGTTTGAATTCTTTCCCACAGAATTCAGCATCTAGACACACACAGTGTGATCTTACAACCCCTGACAAGGAAACAAAATATACATCAGATTCGGGTACAAACACTGAACCATGTATCAACTCCACACCTACAAGTACACCTGAAAGATCCTTTAAACAAAAGAAAACTTCTGGTGAGGCCAAACTTATTATAGGCAGCTCTATCTTACAAAGGGTGAGAACTAGGGGACTACAACAATATGTCCATGTGAGAACCAACAGAGGGGCCAAGCTTTCCGGAATCAAGTCTAAGCTACATCAAACCGCTGTTGAAGATTACTCTCACATAATTGTCCACGCCGGAGGAAATGATGCCTCATCTCGTAGAGAAATGGATGCCGTAGAACATGACGCTGTAGAAATAATCAAAAACATCAAGGATCGATCTCCAACTACCAAAGTTTATTTCTCAGAAGTTTTACCGAGACGGGACGTAGATGTTTCGTATGTGAATAACACGCTAAGATATGTTTGTGATGAGTATGGAGGTTTGTTCATTTCTAATAAGAGTGTTTTCAAAGAGGTCAACAACGTGCATTATTGGAAAGACGGGATACACCTTTCCGATAAGGGAACGTCAGCGCTACTTAAACAGATGAACAACGAAGTTCCGATTTTACGTGGCAAGGGAGCAGTAAGGGACAACGGAAATTCCAGCTTTAGCCAGTCCGTAACGTGTTACTTCTGTGGTGAACATGGACATACCTCACGCCACTGCAGGCATGGCCGAAAACTAGACTGTTGGAATTGCGGAGAACTAGGCCACAAGACCAAATTCTGTGTGTATTAGGTATTAGGCAAGGAATGTATAGCCGTTCACGACAATACTAAATCTACATTAAATTTAAATAGATATTCTATTCTAGGCACTGTATGTACTGAATGTAACGATTTTCAATGTTCTTGTTTAAATCAAACTAATAATTTAGTTTATAATACCTCTGTTAAATCTGAACTGCCCAGAAAACCATATATTAAGAATAAGACTCTCTCGGACAAAGTGAAAACTTCTCTCAATGATGAGAGCTCAATTATACAAACTGCTAACATAACTCCACTTATGATAAACTCATTCAAATCTGTTTCACAAACAAAAAATCAAGCTCCTATGACCAATAACCAAATTCATACTTCACAAATACAAAAAGATTCAGGATTTAGATTGATTAAGAAAGGTTTACGTTTCGGAAATTTAAATATTTGTCATATTATTCCTAAAATAGATGAAATTAAACTGTTGCTTCAAACACGGCAATCTTTAGATATTTTAGGATTATGTGAAACTTTTTTGAGTGAGCAAGTAGGGAATTCAGAACTGTTTATTGATGGGTTTGTTTTTGAAAGAAAGGACCTTGCATTAAGGGCAGGTGGTGGAATTCTTATTTATATTTCAAGTGATATCACATATAAACGTAGAACTGATTTTGAGATCAGTAATATTGAGACAATCTGGCTAGAGATAAATCTAAAAAATTCAAAACCTATATTCTATTGCTCTGCTTATCGTCCACCATCTGCCCCCTCCTGCTGGGCGGAGGACCTGGCAAGGGAGGTGAACCGTGCCTCCTGCTGTGACGACACTGAAATAATTCTATCAGGTGATTTCAATATTGATTTAATGAAAGACCCCCCCAATACTGGACATCTGCTTTAGAGGAGTTTGGACTTTCACAGATAATTACTGTACCTACAAGGATAACCAGTACCTCAAGTACCTTAATTGATCATTTTTTATACGACAAAACCAGATAACATATGTGAAATCTGTGTTCCCCCTATTGCTATCTCCGACCACTATCCCGTATGTTCTACACGCAAGGCAAGCTGCATGCAGCGAAAAGGCAAACATATCGAAATTCAATTCCGAGACTTTAAAAAG